GACATGAGATCCTGAGGCCTTCATAGAGTAGACGTGCACTGCCTTGCTCGGATACCAAGACTGGAGAAGACCTACAACCTGGTCTGCAGGTACACTTAGTACGCATGGATCGCATGGAAACACCGGAGTCTGGGTTGACTGGAGTTCCCTGGTCATTCACAATCTTGAGATAAGATGGACTACCTCTACTCCTCTGAGAATAGATCTGGAGAACATGATTCGGATGTGGAGGACCCTCCTATGCTCTAATCCCTCACGGGAACTGTCTTGGGTTTGGGTTGCCACTAACCCACCTATCCAACTACCACCCAGGAAGCGTACTTGGACTCTATGGAGGAACCCTGGGTGTCACCAACTCCTACACAGACGTCACAAGTCGGGACGCAATCTACCGCTGGAGTACTGCTAAGGAGCTGTAGCAGGCTCGGATATAGCTGCTGACGTTCTGAAACTGGACAACCCGGCTTCGAACGGTTGATGCTAGATCCTTGTTTTCTCGCTATATCTAGTCTTTGGAGTCGCCTGTCGTGAGTGAAGGGACTTTACGGCTTACCTACGTGTTGGAGAATGCTATGAGTTTTGCGGGACTCCAGGCTAAGGAGGGAAGTATGCCTCTATAGAGATGCCTTGACTTCGGTTCTCAAATTCACATGCCTGAATCCCTTGGCCTAAGGCCTACTCTTGGAGATACGTGGCCGGACAGCCAGGGGTACGGAGACCTAAAGGTCTCACCTTTATATTATACCCTATCCTGCATGTGGCGTGTGGACCAGAAGATCCTACACGGATCTGGACAGGTCGGGCATGGAACAGGATCGTACTAACGAGTAATCAGAGTATTTCACTCTCACTACAACAGGTGAGGACTCTTCTTTGTTATGCAGGTCCCAATTAACATCGGATCCGGACCACTTATCACTCCTCGACGAGGATATTTCTGGATGGGAATCTCAACCTCTGTTTAAGTTTCCCTCCTCTTGGATATTTCCAGGATTTACGATTCCCCAGAGTTGCCGACCACTGTTTGGGACTCTGTTTGGAGATCCCTTGGGAGTTCCTTCTCTACCACAGTCACGGGTTACACAGCCCATTTGGAGTACTGGAATCTCTTAATATGCGGCTAGTTTGACCACACTCTTGCCTGCATAATAAGATTCTTCGCTGATGAGACCACCCACCGGGAATGAAAGGCCCTATTCGGTTCTGTTATGGTGGAACCGGCTGAAATGCATTACTCGAGGTTGGAGTTTGCCTACAAGGCCACATCACCTGGTGATCCTGGCACGTTCGGAGGACTCATCTTCCGCATCATGTGTCGAGGCCCGGTGGCAGTTTTCTCTCGTGATCTGAGGTCCGCAGGTGACCTTCGGTATTCTACACCTACAGGAAATAGCTAATCGACTTTTTCAGTTCATGGACCGTCTGCTCGGACACATGTCGCAACCCCACATACGGTGGATCTGACGACAAATGGACTGTTTCCCGTAATATGGTGGTACATCGACAGCTGGCATCTTCCTCGATCCATCTACTGTCACTTCTCGCAGTTGGAAGGTCCATTTGGGATTGCTCTGGTTATCTGCCAGAATAGGTACCAGCGAAACAATCAGCATTGGATTTGTTTGCTGAGCGTTAAAACAGCAAATACGAAGCCTCCTGTCATCTTATAAAATTGTAGATTATGCTAGCTTTAGTGTACCTATAATCTTAATTTTATTAATGACAGGAGGCGAGTATTTCCCACCCGTTCTTATCCCTCCCTTGTTTTATTTTATAGTTGGATTATTCAGGTACGTATACAACTCTGCTTGTTGTCTCTGCTACCTGTCTCCTATCCTTATGGCTATTTTTCATAATTAGGGTTGGGATATCTACATATTTAAGGTAATTTTGGTTGGGTATCTACAAGTTTATTCAGAGTACATTTCATTGGATAATCAACCTGTTCGATTCTGTTTTTCTCTCGTTTCAGTTTCCAGTCCATCAACGCTATCTGGTGGGCACTTCTTCACGTGTGGTGGACATTGACTTATTTATTTTATAGTATATTAAAACTATCCGGTTTGACAGTTCTTCTCGGATGATGGACATTGCTGTATTCATTGTATCTAGGACTTCGTTTTCTTCCCATTATTTTTTCTGCCTTTGTTCTGTTTTTGTCGCAGCTTGAAAGAGGAAATGATGCAAAGGGAAGGGAGTTTTATAACTTTTTTCTGATTGGTTGTTTTTCTGTGCTGCTGTGGAGTTCTAGTAAAGAGAGACTGAAGCAAATACTCGCCTCCTGTCATTAATAAAATTAAGATTATAGGTACACTAAAACTAGCATAATCTACAATTAAAGGACCACTATAGTACCAGGAAAACATACTCGTTTTCCTGGCACTATAGTGCCCTGAGGGTGCCCCCACCCTCAGGGTCCCCCTCCCGCCCGGCTCTGGGGAGAGCTTACCTTTCTCCAGCGCCGGGCAGGGAGCTCTCCGCCTCCGATTCTCCTCCTTCCCTCCCTTTCGGTTGAATGCGCACACGCGCGGTAAGAGCTGCGCGCGCATTCAGCCGGTCTCATAGGAAAGCATTTACAATGCTTTCCTATGGACGCTGGCGTCTTCTCACTGTGATTTTCACTGTGAGAATCACGCAAGCGCCTCTTGCGGCTGTCAATGAGACAGCCACTAGAGGATTTGAGGGCTGGATTAACCCATTTATAAACATAGCAGTTTCTATGAAACTGCTATGTTTATAAAAAAATGGGTTGACTCTAGCTGGACCTGGCACTCAGACCACTTCATTAAGCTGAAGTGGTCTGGGTGCCTAGAGTGGTCCTTTAAACAAAGTAAATAATAATAAGATGTCCTATCTAAAAAGCAACAAGGAGAAATAAGAAAGAGGTGAGCATGGGGAGAAGAGATGTAGGTTTTCCAGACTTAGAGGTACAGAATGTGAAAGGGAGGGGATAAGAAGGCATGACTAAACTAGGACACCCCACCCCTAATCTAAATTTGCCCCACCCCTTCCTGTCAAGGCTGCACCACTTTTTGTTTAGGAACACACACTCTCCCTCACTGATACATGCACTGACATACACTCACTGGCACATACACTCTTTAATCAACACTCACTTTACTGAAATACACTCACTGACACACACACACACACACACTCATCCTCACTGATTTGCCACACTCTGAAAGACACACACACTGACAGACACACATACTGGTACTAACACACTAATTTTCTCATACACTAAGTGTGACAAACTCCCCTTTTTACCTGAGTTTGCGATGAGCTCCTGGAGGAGCCTGCTTGCCAGCCTCCTGCCCACAGACAATGGGGCCTGCAGGGAAACCTGTAAAAGACTAGTGAACTTGACCGACTGCTAGCACTGATTTCCCTGGGACTGTTTTGGGCATGGGGACATGCTTGCGGTCGGTCAAAACGATGACTTCAAGGAAATTCCTGAACCCCTGAACTGATCTGGGTGATTTTTGGATATGTTGTGGGGTTTTGTGTGTTTTTAATTTACTTTTTGAAGTTTCATAAAATTGTATGTTTTTTCTGTGCTTGGAGATAATTAGGTTAGATTAGTACAGTTCCTGACTCAATTATCTCCCAAGCACAGTGGAGGGATTATATTGTATGTGTATGGAGTGTCTCTGTTTTTATTGTTTTGTTCATTTTGTGTCCCTGTGCCCAACAAGGTCTCCCTGGGTGTCGCCGTTGTTGGGAAACTTGCATAAAAGACCAGTGTGCCTCCATTAAAATGCAATTCCAGCTTACACTCCAAAACTGTGTGTCGTCCTGTTATTGGAGGGAAAGAAGATTTACTCCTGTGTCTGCTGTTCCAGCTTTCAGGGGATTGCAGGGGAATAGAGCTAATTCCCCATTTGGCTACAGGAAGGAGCGGTTCCAGGGCCCCAGCCAAGCCCAGTTGACTGTGGGCAGAAGTGCTGCAGTTTGTCCCCTGTTCCCATCTAGGAAGCGGTTCTTGGTGGAGGTACCCAGCCAGGGGTACATGGAGCTCTGTCACACTCAGAAATTATTTTTTAATTCATGCAGCCTCCCTACCTTTTTGGAGAGATGGAGTGGATTCTTTCTCTGGGGTCCAGTGTGACTGTTGGGTTGCTGCACAATGGAGGCAGTAAGGGAGCTGCAAACTTCTTGTTTTGCTCCCTTGCATGCATCTAACAGATATATGTGCAGCTGCCCACCTGAACAAGGCCTAAGGTCCTAAGGTGGCCAGCCGGCCAGCTCTTTGGCCCCTCATGACAAAAAGCTAACAAGGTATTGTTGGGGAAATCAAACCAATCATTTGATGATATCCTGAGTATCTGCCCCTGTCCAAATTAAAAGGTTATACAGGGTGCACGCTTCCCGAGTAATTCACACCGGACACAAGATTCTGGTTAATGAATCAACTGAGGAATGTTTATTTTCGGGGGTTGGACCCCCTTATAAAGCACTAATACATCATATGCATAATTATAGATAACAGAGAGGAATACATCAATAATTGGTTAGGTGTTAAGTACCGACAGACGCTATCCCTATATTGTCCCTATAGGGAGGTAATTGTATATTTAGTACGATGGGATTGTAGAGGTGTGTGTGGCATATCACAGGCTTCATCGTCGATGTCTTGATGGAGCAGAGTTGGGGTGATGTGATTGATGGTCTGACCTACTCAGGGCCGTCTTTAATTTTGATTGGACCCTGGGCAAGCATTTACTTGGGCCCCCTGACTATATATAGATATACACAAATACACTACCTGACACACATGAAGATACACACTGACCGCATGTAGATACACACAAGAACATACAGATACACACAGACTACATATAGATACACTGACACACACATAGACATACACACAGATATAAACACTGACATACATGTAGATACAAAGGTACACCCATTGACTACATATAGATACACACACACACTGACACAAATCCAGACACACAGATACACAACCTATAACACATGCAGATATACAGATACAAACACTGACACATACAGATACACACACAAACGGAAAACATACAGATACAGAGACACATTCTGACAGACGTACTGACACAGACAGTCATACTGAACCACACATACACAAAGACATACTGAACCACACAGACATTGACATACAGATACACTGACAGACATACTGGCACATATACACACAGACAGACAGACATACTGAAACACACATACACACAGACATTGACAGACATATTAAAAAACACAGACATACAGAACCACATGGACACTGACAGACTCACACAGACATACTGACAGACATACATACATTCTGGCACACATACTCACAGACAGACATACTGAAACACACATACACACATACATACATACTGAACCACACAGACATTGACAGACTCACACACACACACAGACATACTGACACACTGACAGACATACACACATACACTGACAGACATACACACACAAAGACATACTGACACACTGACAGACATACACACATATACAGACAGACACACACACACTGACAGACATACACACATATACAGACATACTGAAACACACATACAGACATACTGAACCACACAGACACTGACAGACTCTCACACACACAGACATACAGATACACAATGACAGACATACTGGCACACTAACAGACATACACAAATACTGACACACTCATGCAAAATTTGATAACCACCCTCCAGTTTCTTACCTTTTCCTGGAGGGTGGCTTCACTGGGGTCCAGTGGGCTGGCTGGGGTGGCTGGGAGTTAAGCTCTCCCGGCCTGGCCCCTTCCGGAACAGCTCCTTCCTCCCTGCGCGGCTCCTGTTTCTGTGGGAGGAAGTGACACGTGGCTGTCACTTCCTCCCAGTGCTCCCGAAATGCAAGGGCCCGGTCGCGCTGTTAAAGCGCCACAGCGCCCGACCGGGCCCCTGCTGACACAGGCCCACCGGGTGGCCCTAAGTGCATGGGCCACCCGATGGGCCCCCATAGTCTGCAGGTAGAGGGCAAACAGGGCAGTTACCTCGGGCCCCCCAGCAGGGACAAGGCCCGGGGCAGCTGCCCTGTTTGCCCCGCGTTAAAGACGGCCCTGGACCTACTGTCTTTTGTAGATATTTCTGCACACACGGAAGCATAAAGCAGACAAAGATGCTGATTAACAACAACACTGCCAAGACTCCCATTCCCACTTGAAGAAGAGTCTTCTGCCAACCATTCAGCCATCCAAACCATGCCATGATTATCCCAGGATTATCCCATGAATTATTAACCCTTAAATTACGTTCTAATTCTTCTGAGAGATTTTCAAATTTCTCTATAGCCATGGTTACCTTACCATTTGGGCCAGTATTATCTGGTATGAAGGTGCAACAGGTCATGGTATCAGGAAGAATCTTACAGACCCCCCCTTTTTTGGCCAATATCATATTCAAGGCTACTCTGTTTTGAAAGATCATCTGAGTGGTAGCCTGTAACTGTTCTGCCAGGCCCTGTAGGGCATCTCTGGTGTAATTAACAAAACGCTGTTGATTATAATAAATGTAGTTTATCCAGTTCAGTTTGTTTTATTATGAGAATTTGCATTATACCTCATCCATTCAAGCCACAGATTGATGTCTGAGAAACCAGTCTCTACTGCCATAGTGTCTTCGAAAGTAGGGTTAGCTATTGCAACCATGTCTTTAAGAGTCTTAATATGTGGTTTAAGAGGATTGACAGTCATGTGTTGTGTGTCTACCCATTCAGGTGAGTTGTACATGTCTTGTAAATAAAAAGTGCCTAATGTATTATATGAACCACCCCCCTTCCAATACATTCCCATAACATATTCCCCAGCAACCCCAGGACTAGGATGTTCAATATTGAGGGTTCATTTTATAGGGGTCGATGCCGTTGGTTTACGTATAGTCATTCTGTCTAAGAGTGATTTCCCAGTTACGTCCAGTTTTTGTAAGGCACTCTGTGGTCTATAACCCCATGGTTGACCTGTATTCCAACACACCGCTCTCCAAGAGCTACAGTGATGTCCCCAAATAGTCTCTTGTCACACAGATATATGGGTCCTTTTTGTTAGGTATATCTTTGTATACTGCTGAAAATAAAGATCGTGGGAATGTTCAAGAGATGATATCACAATAATCAAATGTAAAGGTAGCGACATGTGTGTTGGATAAATTGTACCAAAATGTGTAAACATGATTATCTTTGGTGATTGCAACCTGTTGGGCTTTTATCAGACCCACTAGCAGCATTAGACATAGGAAGCTCATGTTGTGGCAGGGTCCATTCCCTTTGGAGCTGGAACCTTTTTACAATGGGATGCGTGTATCCAGTTGGTCTTTCCCACTAGTTTCACTGAAGTAGAGGTAGTCAGGAGAACCTGGAATGGACCATCAGATCTTGGTTCTAAGGTGTGCTTCCTTAGGAATTTCTTTACCAGAACCCAATCACCAGGAAGTAAATTGTGAGAGCCTGTGTCAGAATCAGGATCTGGAATGGAAGAAAACACTTGTGCATGGATTTTGGCTAAGACATGAGAGAGGGCAGTTACATAATCATCCATTGCATCAGATTGAATTTGGAGTTGTTGAGGGAAATAACAGCCTAGCCTAGGAGCTGAACCGAATAAGATCTCATACGGTGACAGGCTAAACCTCCCTCTGGGGGTGTACTGGGCGCTAAATAGGAAGACTCTCTGGCCAGGGTAAGTTAGTCTTTGGGCCATCTTGAGCATTCTGGCTTTCAATGTGCCATTCATGCGTTCTACTTTACCACTCGTTTCATTAAAAACCCTATTCTACCGGCATTCAGACCATACGAATGGATTACACAAACTATTATAAAGACTCATTCGTCGGTACGAACGATGGACCACCCAGCCTTTGGCATGTGCCGCCACTTAACCTCGTCACCCCGCGAAGTACCGAATGGCTGACTACCCTGCGAGCGGAGTGTGCCGCTCATTAATCGCACAAGGCGTTGCAGCCTGCGGTTAACCATGAACTAATTGACGGTCCCAGGGGACCCCCCTATTCGTATACAAAATCCCCGAAGGGAAACTACCGAAAGATTCACGAATGGGGGACCACCTACGTTCCGGCGTGTGGCATAGATTAGAACGTTCATCTTGCGGTTAACCCGCAGGTTAAGTACCCCTTCCGGGCGGTCTCCGTTCGTATCCCGAACGGCTGAGACAACCAGACTGATAGCTGGGATTCGTGTGACGGTGTACCCGACCTCCGCTCCATAAGTACGGAGTCGAGATCCCGCTACCCATTGACCGACCTTAAAACATGGCCGCCATCAGGGGTGCACAATCAAACTACCGAACAATACTTTCTATGGCAGGAACCTCCCGTTCTGTTTGTGGGATCTGGGAGCAATTTGTATGTTGGATGTACTCAGATCTGAGCTACCGAACGATTTGTGGAATGACTATATTGTATATAAAATGCCAAAGTTATGCATTTTTATACTGTTTTCTCGGATATAATAAAGCATGGTCTTTTGGGCGCTTGGAGATAATTAGATTGTATAACCGTTGGCTGCATTATCTCCAAGCTGGGCGGGTACTAGATACATTGTATTGTGATTGGTTGACTAGTTGCATTGTACCGGTATCCCATCAGGTCCATAGGGGGCTGTCCCTGACCTGGGGACTTGCATAAATTGCCATGCTTGTGTGCCATTAAAGCCAGTTCGTTTTACCCTCAACTCGCAGCCTCGACTCGTGTTGTAGGGATCCGGGAGTCCTAGCTTTACTATAGCTAGTTGGATATTCTATATTTACAGGTTTCTACCGATTGGAACCTCGTTCGACTCTCTGACTTTGATATCCAAGCGATCCAACCTCCTGCTAGACCGGAGGCAATCGTAACACCACTACTCTGTGGATGGTATGGTGTATGGAATGCATAAATGGGAAGACTCTCTGGCCAGGGTAAGTTAGTCTCTTGGGCCATCTTGAGCATTCTGGCTTTCAATGTGACATTCATGCGTTCTACTTTACCACTACTCTGTGGATGGTATGGTGTATGGAATGCAAGGGTCACCCCCAGTGCTGCTCAGATCTCCCTAGTCACTCCCTGGTCACTCTCTATAACTTCAGGGACTCCGTATCGACAAACAATTTTGGTTAACAGGCGTTTAGCAGTGGTTTTGGCAGTTATGTTAGCCACTGGTTAAGCTTCCGGCCATCCCGAGAACATATCCACAACAACCAGCGCATACTCATACCGGCCACTTTTTGGCATTTGGATATGATCAATCTGGATCCTCTGGAAGGGATACTGTGGCTTTGCTAGATGTTTCGGTGGAGCTTTAACCAGTTTTCCCGGGTTACATTTGGCACAGATGGTGCAAGACCTGCAATAGTTCTTGGTAAGTGTAGTGATGCCTGGAGCCTCGAAGTACTTGTCAATCAAGGAGTTCATGAGATGTGGGCCGTTTGAACTACTGCTGGGTACATGTTCTTAGGCAGGCAAACCTTAATATTTATGGCATATATGCCATCTTGGAAGTTGGCTCCTTTATCTTTCCAGCTTTGTCTTTCTTTCGGAGAGGCTGCTTCCTGTTGTTTCCTCAGGAGTTTGAGGTCTGTGGGTAGGGTGTGCATGGTATACAAGGGGGTCTCCTCGGCGGACACTCTTCTGTCCACTTTCCTGGACTGCATGCTTAGCAGCCTGATCTGCTAAGTAGTTGCAAAGGGGCCTCTTCAGTATTCAACCTCCCATGGGCCTTCACTTTCAGAATGGCCACTTCCTCCGGGAGTAACAGAGCATCCATCAACAGCTTGATAGCTGTCCTATGCTTGACTGGTGTACCTGTAGCTGTGAGGAAACCCCTAGTTTTCCAGATCAATCCAAAGTTGTGTGCTACACCTAGAGCATATCTTGAGTCGGTGTAAATGTTAGCACGTTTTTCTTCGGACATCTTACATGCCATTGTGAGGGCTGTTAATTCAGCTTCCTTAGCAGACACAATTGAAGGGAGGGAAGAAGCATAAAGGACCTCATCTTGAGTGGTAACGGCAAATCCAGTGTGATACCTCCCTTTATCGTCCACAGATCTAGAACCATCCACAAACAAGGTAAAGTCGGGATCTGGTAAAGCAACCTCATGCACTGTGGGGAGATGTGTTGTTTCCATCTTCATCTGTTCAAAACAATCATGAGGTGCGTCTGGGTCTTGTTGGGTAGGAGGAACATCTTCACTTATCTCCATGTGTGGCAAACCTAGCCACTTAAGACTATTCCTTTATATCTAATGGTTGTCCTAGAAAGGCTGTTTAATCTATGTTGTTTTATGTTGTTCACTTAAAGAGGTGATAGAGGGCATTAGTATGCTAGTGGCGTGAAAGCCGCTAGCATTCATATGGTAGTTTCACGAATAGTGACTTTCAACACTGTTCGTGAAACGAACAAAGTACCGAATTGGAGACCACACACAGGAGGTCGTGTGGCTCCCACTAACAGATTGCAACAATGTATCGTTCCTTGGTTAATTGATTCGCGGGGTGGCCGCCGTTCGGATACCGACCACGCGGCGGCGGCCATCTTGGATTCCCTTTTAGCCCAGCGGTGTTTGGTCGTCAAGTGCCTGGAACTGAAATCGGCTACTCGACGGCACAAACACCGCTGGA